TGTCCATGGAATTCTCCAGGCAAGATGGGGAGGGAGATGGAAGAGAGGTTCAAAAGGGAGGGGGATATATGTATATGTATGGCTGATTCATGTTGAGGTTTGACAGAAAACAACAAAATGCTATAAAGCAATTATCCTTCAATTAAAAAATAAACTAAAAAAAAAAGAATGCTGGAATGGGTTGCCATGCCCTCGTCCAGGGGATCTTCCTGACTCAGGGATCAAACCCATGTCTCAATACATCCTGCATTGGCAGGAGGGTTCTTTACCATCAGTGCCAATTACATGGTATTTATTTTTCTGTTTATGACTTATTTCAGTCTGTTCATCCACCTCACTAGAAGTGACTCAAATCTGCTCCTTTGTATGGGCTGAGTAATATTTCATTGTATATATGTGCCACAACTTCTTTATCCAGTCATCTGTTGATGGGCACCTAGGTTGCTTCCATGTCCTAGCTATTGTAAATAGTGCTGCAATAAACATTGGGGGTACATGTGTTTTTTTGAATTATGGTTTTCTCAGGGTACATGCCCAGTAGTGGGACTGCTGTGTCATATGGTACTTTATCACTAGTTTTTAAAGAAATCTCCATACTGCTCTCCATAGTGGCTATATCAATTTACATTCCCACCAACTGTGCAAGTTCCCTTTTCTCCACATCCTCTCCAGCATTTATTGTTTGTAGATTTTTTGATGATGGCCATTCTAACTGGTGTGAGGTGATACCTCATTGTAGTTTTGATTTGCATTTCTCTAGTAATGAGTGATGTTGAGCATTTTTTTCCATGTGTTTATTGGCCATCTGTATGTCTTCTTTGGAGAAATGTGTTTAGGTATTCTGCCCATTTTTTGATTGGGTTGTTTGTTTTTCTGATATTGAGCTGCATGAGCTGCTTGTATATTTTGGAGAGTAATCCTTTATCAGTTGCTTCATTTACAATTATGTTCTTCCATTTGAAGCTGTAGGAATTAACTTTCCTGTATGTCTTCTTTAAACTCAGAGACTGTGATACCTTCAGCTTTGTTTTTATTTTTCAAGGTTATTTTGACTATTTGGGATCTTTTGTGATGCCACGTAAGTTTTAGAACTATTTGTTTTAGTTCTGTGAAATATGCCATCATGCAGGCATGCACGCTAAGTCACTTCAGTCATGTCTGACTCTTTGTGACCCCATGGACTGTAGCCCATCAGCTTCCTCCGTCTGTGGGATTCTCCAGGCAAGAACACTGGAGTGGTTTGCCATGTTCTCCTCCAGGGGATCTTCCCAACCCAGGGATCGAACCCACGTCTCCTGCATTGCAGGCAGATTCTTTACTGCTGAGACATGGGGGAAGCTTTTGTAGCCATTATAGTTTATTTATTTATTTATTTTCATTTATTTTTATTAGTTGGAGGCTAATTACTTACAATACTGTAGTGGTTTTTGCCATACATTGACATGAGTCAGCCATGGATTTACATGTGTTCCCCATCCCGATCCCCACTCCTGCCTTCCTCCCCATCCCATCCCTCTGGGTCTTCCCAGTGCACCAGCCCTGAGCACTTGTCTCATGCATCCAACCTGGGCTGGTGATCTGTTTCACCCTTGATAGTATACTTGTTTCAATGCTATTCTCTCAGAACATCCCACCCTCGCCTTCTTCCACAGAGTTCAAAAGTCTGTTCTGTACATCTGTGTCTCTTTTTCTGTTTTGCATATAGGGTTATCATTACAATCTTTTAAAATCCCATATATATGCATTAGTATACTGTATTGGTCTTTATCTTTCTGGCTTACTTCACTCTGTATAATGGGCTCCAGTTTCATCCATCTCATTAGAACTGATTCAAATGAATTCTTTTTAATGGCTGAGTAATATTCCATTGTGTATATGTACCATAGTAGCCATTATATTTTAGAGTGACTTGTCACAGAATGGTACTGAAACAAGTGGTAACTCATGTCTTTGCCTAGAAGGATCATTCCTTTTTGTGGAGCTGAGTAAAGAAATTGTTGTGGGTTTCTCTTTTTTTGTGGACTCAACTTGGTATCCTTCAAAGGTGTTGGTAAGGACCATGATCTTTGCTCTACTCGTTGACTGATTGGCGAAGACTTCAGATGGCTAGAATCCATGGGCCCTCAGGAGAAAGATAAGCCCACTGAATGAGAAAAAGATATAACCCCAAAGGAAACCATCACAATTTTCCCTTTTTGTTCTCTTGATATTACTCTACATTATTCATTATGAAATGTAGGCTGTTATGGTGATGAGAAAAGGCTGAACTGGAAAGAAATAGGCAAGATGTTGCAATATTGAAAGGCTTTCCCTTGTCTATACACTTGTGCAAGCTTACTTATGTGAGCTGGGCCTGAGATATCCCATCACTTACTCCTATGCTGCCAGTGGGTAGCTCAAAGTTGAAAGGTCTTCCCTGCTTCTGCAGTCAAGTGAAGTACCTATGTTCCAATTGCCATTCCAGCATTGAAAGTCTTTAAACATTTTTATAAGTACCCTGACAGAGAGGAAATACAGTAAGATACAGTAATCCTGCCACTCAAATGTGGATAAATTCTGTCCTAAGGTTACATGAAAGTCTGCTAAGTGTGCATGTCTAAACTATGCCTAAAGTTGCAATGAATTACTTGTCATGCAAATGAATGTATTAGTAAGTCCACGTAGAGAAGGATTCACTCTTATGGCTTCTGAGGAAGATCAATATGCCCTTGCGGTCAACAAAGACAAAAACATACACAGTGACATAAGGAACTGCTTTACAAATGAAGTTTCCCATTTGATGCTACTCCTACTTATGTCTACTTATGTCTCCTACTTAAATCTCCTACTTATGTCTCATTGTTATATAAAACCTTGATGTGTTATGTCTGCACCTGTCTTGTTCTGACACATCTTAAAAACAACAACAACAAAAAAAGGAATAGGACCAGAGAAAGGAGATCCAGGAAAAGTGATCACTGGCCAAAAGGACTCTAAAAATTCAGAGCATTCAGGGTAGCAAGACAAAGATGTATGCAGAGATTCCAAGGGTCATGCACTTTAGAGGTGGAATTGAAAACATTTGCTGATTCAAGAGGAAGCAAATGGTGCTGAGTGGCAGGACCTGATGTAGCATGCCCTAAATATTGTTTCTAAGTTTTGCTTTTCTACAAACCAGCCCTTGGTATTGACCATTTTCTCTTCATTGGTGGTATCAAGTTCAATGTTGGGTCCGGCTAAGCAGTGCAGCAATTATTTTTCCAAAAAGCCTGGTTTTAATTGACATTTTGGATGGGTCTCAGTAATAATGTTGCTTTCATGCACTTTTCTAAAATTTAAGAAAACACTGTGGCATGGTCATGCTGAGTGAGTGAAAGTCTGACCCAAGATGAACTAATTTTATTCAGAGCCTTCTCTCCCTTTCTGTCTCTTCCAGTTAGCAACCTTGAGGATATTTTCCCTGTCCTTGTCCCTAATCCCAGTTAAATGACTCTGACTACTTAGAACTATCGTTAATATAGTCTATTTATTATTTTATTTATGTTGAGATATTTGCCTTAAAAAATAGGGGCCAGAAGATAAACTGAGATTGCCTTGCCAAAAGCATTATTTAGCTTGGATGTGAAATGTAAAATTACAAAATTACTTATTCATCTAGTGCATAGCTCCAGCCTCATCCTGCCCCACACACACGGGCTCCTGGATGAAGGTCTGTTTTCTTCTTTTGCACAATGTGAGGAATTCCATCTTTAGGGTGAGTTCTTTTCCAATGCCTGTAGTTATCAAAGTGCTTTTCCCAAGTGGAGAGAATATTAATTAAAATATAAAGAACATTTTGCTTTTGTGGCTACTATACTCTTGCCAATGAATGGCTGGCACCCTAAATGGGTATGTGTCCTTTAAATTCACAGCATCTCACACGTGTACTGTTCTTCTATCCTGTGATCTGTCATAATGTCTAAGCTCCATATTTGAGTGACCAGTTGCTTATCATGAGATGAAAGGGTTCATACTAATTGCATCCACCATTCACTGAGCCAGCCTTAGTACTAGTTGTTTTATAAACATCATCTTATTTTGTGCTCTTAATAGTACTGTGTGTGTTAGTTGCTCAGTTGTATCCGACTCTTTGAGACCCCATGGACTGTAGCCCACGAAGTTCCTTTGTCCATGGAATTCTCCAGGCAAAAGTACTAGAGTGGGTTGCCATTTCCTTCTCCAGGGGATGTTCCTGACCCAGGGATAGAATGCAGGTCTCCTGCATTGCAGGTAGATTCTTTACCATCTGAGCCAACAGGGAAGCCCTAACAGTACTATTAGTTAATATTAATACTGTGATTTCAAAATGTAGAAAAGGGCAGAAAGGCTAAGTAATTTGTCCAGGGCCTTTCTGCAAGTAAATGATGGAGCAGAGATATAACTCCAGCTCTGCTGAATGCTAAACTCTTTCTTTTGAGCAACATGTGCTTTTTAGATTGGAATGAATCTAGAGCAGAAGGAATCAAGAAGCATGTCTACTTAAAGAGCTGGCCATCAGTAATATTATATATTTGAGAATTGGCTCTGGGTCCTGATACGTCCCTGTTCCCACCATTCCCTTCGAGCTTTCCACATCTCTATTTTTAACTTCCTCAGAATTTTAGTGCCCTCCAGCTGCCCTTCCTAGGGAAGGGTTCCATATATCCCCACTTTCTTCTAATCAAAACTTGCTTACCATTTCAGTCCTCTGTGCTTTCTATGTGACAATCTCTAATATGATGCATGAGCTGGGACCACTATGAAGGTTTATTCCTTAATAGGCACTTTCTTTTCATGTCTGCAAACATATACTGTAAAAAGCAATGGTTAACTGTCTCCCACATCCATTTTCACTTTCTTCCTTCAGGGGTAGAACCTAGGAGTTTCACTGGGTACAGGACCACACAGTAGCGACTACACTTCCCAGGCTTGCTTGCAAAAATTGGTTCAAGAGGTGGGGTAAGTGATGCTGAAAGCTGACCTAGTGTGATGCAGGAATTCGCAGGTGGGTGTGGCTTCCTTTGTGTCGAGGTGTGGCCACATGACCTAAACTCTGACCAGTTGGCTGTGAGCAGAAGTGGTGTGTATAAATTCTAGGAAGTGCCTTAAAAGGAAGGGACATACTCTCCCCTGTTCCTTTCCTGGACTATGCAGATGAAAGCCACTACACTTGGGTTAGTGGAGACACAGACAGAAGGAACCTAGACCCCTGACAGCATAGAGCCACCATATTGGAGCCACCATATTGAAGCCGCCATATTGACTTTGAATGGCTTATCGCCAGAAGGTTACATGTGAGAAAAAAAAGTTCTATCTTCTTTGCTATTTGTTTAGTTGCTAAGTCATAACTGACTCTTTTGTGACCCCATGGACTATAGCCTGCTAGGCTCCTCTGTCTGTGAGGTTTCCCAGGCAAAAATACTGGTGTGGGTTGTAATTTCCTTCTCTAGGGGAACTTCCTGGCCCAGGGATTGAACCTGTGTCTCCTGCCTTGGCAGGCAGATTCTTTACCATCGAGCCACCTGGGAAGCCCCTATCTTGTTGCCCCTAGCTTGTATTGTTTTGGGATTTGCTACATCAGCTGAACCGCTAACCTTAATATTGTAACTCCTAAAGGGAAAGTCCCAAGATAGTGTTTAACTCTAAAGGGGTGGCACCAATAATGGGCATTTGGGGGGCTAAGGCAAGTCACTATGGTGACGTGCTGGAGCAGGTAGGCTTTGGGATGCCTCTTAAATGTTGACCATGCGGTTGGCTGCCCACTTCAAATTTACACAGGCTGATCCTTGCCCGGCTGGCTCCAAGCTGCCACTGACATTTTCCTGGACTCATCTGCTTTTCAGGTAAGGGCTGCCGTGATCCTGCCAGAGTGCCTCTTAAATTGAAACCAAAGGAAGACAGTAGTCAAGGCCCTGAAAGGTCATGGTTGATGTCTGCCATTGCCAGCCGAAGAAATGGAAAATTTATAGCATTCAAAATCTGGGATTCATTTAGGAGTAAAAATCATTAAGTTATTCAGCCTCAAAATTAGTTTCAGGCCTCCACTGGGCCCGCGTATTCTTCCTAACTATGACACAATGTAGAGTTGGATCTGAAAGGGGACCCAGTATTGAAATGCCTCATCACTGTGGTACAGGAAACACCTCACTAATTCAGGCTCATTAATTAAATATTTGTGATATTTAATTCTTCCCAGGCTGGTCTGAGCTTACATTCTGTCAGATCTGGGAAGAAATGGTATGTTAGACTGATATTTAGTGAGAGTAGAGCATAAATCATTAAGAGGAAAAAAATTATACCTTAAATCCCTTGGAAAGAAGCAGGATATAAAATATAGGAAAGCTTCTGTGGATTTCAGCACCTTAACTGCAAATAAAGGATGTTGCCCATGACCAGTGCATTTTATTTGTTCAGTGGAAGTGGACTCAGTAGAGAGTTCACTCTCAGTAGAGGGTCTACTCTTCACTTGGAGAGATTTTGGTGGCACTGCCTGCTTCATTTCTACCCATTTAAATGGTCCCTCCCAGATGTACAAGCCCCTCCCATGGCAGCAAAATGTCACCCAGGTGCCTGCATGGATCTCTGATTCTGGAATTCTTCTTGGCCTCCACCCAGGTTACATTGATGCAACTGGTTTTCTGCATTTCTTCCTTCTTGAACACTCTTCTGGCCCCAGGCTCTCTCATTCCTATGGGTTGATGAGACCTTTGAAACTAGCTTGACCTTTATTTCCCTTAGCTGCATGATCTGCTCCAGGTCCTGCCTAAGTGACCAGGCTTTCAGCAGGCCTCACTCAACAGGGGGCAGAGAACGATCTGGAGCAGATGATTACATTTATGGATAGGAATGCTGCCCTGAGAAATGTACAAGTCAGGCTTTTGTTAATTTGCTTTGTGTTCCCTCTTCCCCTGTGTGCATGCAAGCTAAGTTGCTTCAGTTGTGTCTGACTCTGTGTGACCCCAAGACTCTCAAGAGTCTTCTCAGCACCACAGTTCTACAATCCCACTCTTGGACATGTATCTGAAGAAAACTCTAACGCAATACACACCCCCCAATGTTCATAGCAGTACTATTACAATAGTCAAGCCATGGAAGCAACCTAAATGTCCATTGACAGAAGAAAGAATAAAGAAGATATGGCATGTATATATATCTAAATCTAATACTACTCAGCCATAAAAAGAATGAAATAATGCCATTTGTTGTAACATGGATGGACCTAGAGATTATCATATTAGGTGAAGTAAGCCAGACAAAGAGAAATATGTAATATCGCTTATATGTGGAATCTAAATAAAGAGAGATACAAGTGAACTTATTTACAAAACAGAAATAGACCTATAGACATAGAGAACAAATTTATGGTTACCAAAGGGAAAAGGGAGAGGAGAGATAAATTAGGAGTCTGGGATTAACATATGTGTGTATGCTAAGTCGCTTTGGTCATGTCTGGCTCTTTGCAACTCTATGGACCACAGCCCGCCAGGCTCCTTTGTCCATGGCATTCTCCAGGCAAGAAAACTGGAGTGGTTTGCCATGCCCTTCTCCAGGGCATCTTCCTGACCCAGGGATCAAACCCCGGTTGCCCCCATTGCAGGCAGATTCTTGATCTCCCAGTTTGAATCAGGCTTACTGGAGCTGAAGGAGAAAGTCCTGAGTTACTCTGTTCATGTAGAGGGCTATCCTTCCAGTGAGAGCACTTCTTCATAGTTCCATTTTAAGGATGAACTGAGAAGGAAGTCAGAAAATTCAGAACCCTCATCTCTCCAGGTTGGTAAATTAATAGAAGGGGAAACCTACCAAATCAAAATGAGAAACCAGTTAAGAAGGGAAGGGAGACTATAGAGGATTTAGAAAGGGAGATGTCAGCTGAAGAGTGACAGACAGCATTTGAGTGAGATTGACAGAAGAGGTTGCTTGTGATGTTATCTACAAAGAGGAGCTGGCTGAGTAAGGCATGGCCTTCCCTCTGGGTCTGTCAGTGTCCAAGCTGTTGGTAACTCAGTCACCCTTGTCTGTACTATTTTATTCCCTATCCATGTATTCCTGAAGTGATCTCAAGCTGTGGTTCACTGTCCCACCAGGGCCTTCTGAGTAAAGGTAACCTGATGCCATCTCAGAACTGTTCTGGACTTGAAGAGAGCCATTTCCTTGTTTCTCTTGGAACCACAGGGACCCCCGAAGTGTGGAACATGGTTAGTGAAGGGGCTTTTTCTGAATGCAAATCACAAATGCATGCATTCTTTATATAAATGAAAAGATGCCACTTCTCCTTATACCTGAAGGTACATTAAAGAGTACAAAAAGGAGCAGTTCTAGAAAGTGATTATGAAACTAATTTATGCAAAATAAAACCTTAGAGAAGGTTCTAGGCCATGCAAAAGGGGTTTATTGACCACAAATGTCAGAGTACTATCACTTCACTTCCCTTTTTATAAATGAGAAGAACCTTTACAAAGTTTATCTTCTTGATATGCCAGGGCTGGGACAACGGTGCTCCTCTGCTCCAGTCTAAGGAAACCTACGCAAGGATGCCGCCTCCCACCTCCGCTACCTTGGAAACCAGACAAGGTGCCTCCAACACCATTGCACTCCTCACCCCTTTCCTCAGCATCCAGTGATTTTGGGGTCATTCCTTATCCACTTTCTGGCCTGCTGTTGTTCAGACCAATACAGAAAGCCTACTAAATAGTCTCTAGGGGAAAAGACAGTTTACTTGGGTCATTTTGAAAAGTTTCTACAGTTTATTACTATTGTTATAGAGAATAACTAATATGTTTATAACTTTGCAATGGGCGCATGTGGGGACAATGACAGTTCTGTTCACTCTGTTATTAACACTAGGAAAACATCACTGTCTACTCAAGAATATTGAATAAATATTGTACACTGGCGTTTTCAGCTCTCAGTGCGTTTCACTTTTGAAGGTTCAAATCTTGGGTCAGCCTGCCAGAAAACATTACCTCATCATACTCTGTCACTGAGAAAAGAGAAAAAAAATCTGAACTAAATGAAGATTGAATTTCATACCAAAGTGCTGAGTCCAAAGACCTTGGGGGATCACTAGACAAAAAAAAAAGACAAGAAGACCCGAAAATGATTTTGAATGATGTGACCTTGCGAATGAGTGTCTTGGGAGACTTGGGCCACAGATGTGAAGATGGTGCTGGATGCAGCGTAAGCAGAAGTGGTCAAGGCAAAGAACCATCATGCTCTCATGTGACCAACCACTCATGCCTCCTTGCTTTGATGCAATGAACTGGAGCATGTTTTACCCTCAGAAAGTCTAGCTCAGATATCACAGACCCAGTTCTACAATCATCCCTTCAAGCATGCATTTGCAGCTTTCTCTCTCTTCTTAAATTCCCACTTCTTTCATTAAATAAAATCAATTGAGGACATTAAAAACTTTACAGAACTAAGATAAAAGAAAACCTCAGGCTCATGATCCCAGCTTGAACAATGTTAATATTTGGGAGCTATATGATTTTTTCCACATTTCACCATTTTCACATTTCAATGGATCCGCCTTTTTCTGGGTGATGCAATAGGAACTAGAGATTTTTTTTCCCCCCTAGAGGAGAAAATGCCATCCAGGTAAAATTAATCAACTGCCAACAGTCTCTCTTTGATGAACTGTGCCATGATCTGAACTAAGACCCCACTGAATGCCTTTTAATTTATTCTTAGGTCCCCCTTTCACTCTCACTCACATTAAAAGTTGAATTATGATACAAGGACAAGATGAGGCTTTATCTGGATCATTTTAAAAGAAACAATCTTTCATCTGGGTGTAAGGGCAAATAAAACTCCCAAACTCTGATATCTGGTGAGATTTTACTGTATTTTAGGTGCATAAAGTTGTATAGATACTTTTGAAATGTGTCTTTAAGTCAGTTTCATTGGAACTTGATTGTCTAGGGGTATAGTGGCCACTGAGTTCTGGTCCTCTGTAATCACATGTGTGCTCAGTCACTAAGTTGTGTCCAACTCTTTGCGACCCTATGCACTGTAGCTCACCAGGCTCCCCTTCCATGGAATTCTCCAGGCAAGAATACTGGAGTGGGTTGCTATTTCCTTCTCCAGGGGGGTCTTCCCAACCCAGGGATCGAAGTGTCTCCTGTATTGGCAGGCGGATTCTTTACTGCTGAACCACTTGAGAAGCCTCTATAATTGGAGGGTCTCTTGATAACTCCTGGTCAGCAGGCCACTGTTATAAATGTATAGTGTCACTTAAAAGCCCCACACTTTTGGAAAAAAGGCAACAGAAAAAAAATGCCTCCCCATATGTTTCCACTTAGTGTATACACAAATATTGCTTAAGTCTTTTTTGTGACATTCCATCCATCTTCTCTGTTCTGCACATGATGTGTTATTTAATACACCTTCATTAAGCTGTATTCCCAAGACATATCACATAAAATCACTCTTTGTATTTGAGGCAATGATGATCTCTTTGAGTTTCAAAACAAATTTGATACAGGAGAGCAGAATCATTGGAGCATAGGGACTTCTAGGGGTCAAACACTCCACCCTGAAGTTTCACAGTTAGTGATGATCAGCCCCCAACAATCTCTGTTCAAGGAGAAGATGCTGGACTCTGTCTTTACAATCCACCAGAGGACAGTCAACTACTTGTTACATAAATCCATCCTAAGAAGCACATTCAGTTGAAGCTAAGACATGGAATACATATTTTGAAAAGTTGTTTTAAAGAAATAGAGAACAGTACACACACCTGATTTCAGGGTGATTCTTATTTATAATTCCTAAATAGTTCACGGGAGCCTTTTGGGTTATAGATACAAGCTGTGATCTTCCCTTGTGTCTCAGACTTGAAGGTTTCGAAGCAGTGTCTTGTTGCTCCTCAACATATGAGAAAACTCTCAGCTAATTGCTTCTTTACCCAATTTTAAGCATTTCTCATCAGGCTTCTCTGGTGGCTCAGATGGTAAAGAATCTGCCTGCAGTGTGGGAGACCCAGGTTTGATTCCTGGGTTGGGAAGATCCCCTGGAGGAGGGCATGACAACCCACTCCAGTATTCTTGCCTAGAGGATTCCATGGACAGAGGAACCTGGTGTGCTACAGTTTATGGGGTTGCAAGGAGAAGGATACAACTGAGCAACTAACACTTCCATCATTCCAGGCACACTGGGATCATTTGGTGGATAAGGAATCATAGTTTCAGGGGATGATGCTATAACTGTAACTGTTTCATTTTGCCTCAGAAACTCTAATGCCAGCATGGCCTTACCTTGTGGATCACTTCAGTAGTTCCACGTGAAGAGCAGGGAGCAGGAATCATCATTTCCTTATAGGCCGGAAAAGCTGAGCCACAGAGGGGAAAGAGAGGGCCCAAGTCCAAGGTTTCTTGGACTCCCTATGTGGGGCTGTCTTGGCTTCCTATGTGGATATTTCTGTTAAATATTTTTGCTGTTTCAATAGGTGAAACCACCATCAACATGAATGTTAACCAAAACAGACTTCAAGTTAGTTGGCCTCCCATTTCTTTAAATCATGGTTCTAACTCTGAGAATTTCATAAACACAAAAAAGGACTGTCCTTAGGGCAGACAGTTTCTTTCCAATAAAAATTTCCTTACAGTGGCCTGCTTTGGTTCTCAATAGCTAAAAAGCTTGTACTTAAAATACACAGGGAGGATAGAGACGATTCAGGAAGAACTCAACAGGAGAGGGGAACTTCCTGGTGGTGGAGGGGCTGTGGCCAAGTCCAGAGCTGCTGGTCTGGGCAACTCCTGCCACCAGTGGACAACAGGGCACATGGACATTTTCTGCCACGTGTCCTGATGACTTCTGGCTACGAGTGCTGCCTGATGCATGGGAGAATGGAGCCAGGATAAGAAAGGGAACTGGACAAGCTGCAACAACAGGCTAAATTAAATAACTTAGGTATTTAGGATTAAAAACCAGGTCTAGCACTTAAGAAAACTGATTCTGGCATGGGGGAACCCCTGGCTCAGTCACAGCTGGGGTGAAGAGGATCTGGTGGTTGCAGACTATCTGATCAATTTGAGTCTGCTGTGTGACGGCCCAGGGAAAGTGAATGGATTCGTAAGTCACACTGGGAGGTCAGCGGCCCCTCACTCAGGTGACCAGCCTGCTGCTCTCTGCTCTGTGGTGATGAGATCCCACCTGCCAGGAAACTGGGGGCACCTCAGTCAGGAGGCTGTGGGCAAATTGGGATGCCTCCCAGGAGGGCTGCTCAGTCATAAGTATCACTTGGGATCCTTGTCAAACACACTGATTCCAAACCCTGGATCTACAGAATCATGATTACCAAGGCCATCTATCATTTCTGGGCTTCCCTTGTGGCTCAGCTGGTAAAGAATCCTCCTGTAATGTGGGAGACCTGGGTTCGATCCCTGGGTTGGGAAGATCCCCTGGAGAAGGGAAAGGCTACTGACTCCAGTATTCTGGCCTGGAGAATTCCATGGACTGTATAGTCCATGGGGTCGCAAAGAGTCTGATACGACTGAGCGACTTTCACTTTCACTTCACTTCTATCATTTCTACATATACTGAAAGCTTTCTGATACATGAAGATGATTAATTTGGTAAGAATATAGCACAGTGCCTGGCTCATAGTAAAGGATCTAATTATTAGCAATACAAAAAATGGTGAATAAATAAAGAACAAGATCTACTCTTAGCCAGTTGATTAAAGAAGATTTAACTGATACCATTTTCATCAGTGATGTGTGTCTGTGTGTGTTCCTCAAGCTGGTAGACATTGATGTTAACTAGGTTCAAAGTCCCTAAAGCAAAGTGATGAACTGTTCTCCTTTTGGAGACTTTCTGGTAAGTAGGTTGGGGAGATACATATACACAGAAGAGTTTTCTAATCACAGCTTATGAACTGCTCTGACTAAGCCTCCAATATAAGAGTAGGACTACCAAAACCCTAGTAAGGAAACTGGGGACTTCTTTACGAGAGGCTGGCTCTGAGAATAGATGTTCATCTGTGATGGATGAGGAAGTTTGATCTTTGGTGATCTTTAGTCTCACTGTTTTAATTTTTCAAGCATTGATTAAGTGCATGAAATAAAAAAAGCATAACAATCTCTACATTGTAACCATTAGCAGAACTAAGAATGAGTTCCCTGATGTCAACATAGGGCAGCAATTGAGGCTCCTGGTTTGTTTTAATCAGAACCGAGATTTTAGACCTGGAGGCCCCCCACCCCAATTAAGTGGTGATCTAGGTGGGGCAGGGATATTTAATAGGCCTTTGGTCTTCTGTTAGCCTTTTATTAATGCTGAAAGGTACGGAGGTCAGATGTTCTCAGCTGTGTTTCCATCTACGCTGGGTTCCTGGCTGCTGTGGTTTTGTTCCGGTTATGATCTCTAACTCTTGCTGAAAGTTGGTCAAAGTCAAGGCCGGAAGTGCTGGCCCTTCTAGCAAAGCCTCAGGCTGGACTAGGTGCTTTGTGAAGAAGCAGCCTGGCAGGCACCACCTCCCTTTCCTCGCCAGCAGCTTTCTGCTCTTAACTTACCCTTGTTACTTTCATATCGTCCAGCGAGGAGGGCTTTTTCTAAAGGATCTCAATCTGTGACTGTGGCATATTGAATTGATTACTTTTAGACTGACAAAACACAATGGAATCTCTCTATTGACTTATCCTTAATATGAAAATATACAGGGATACCCAACTCCCTAATTTTTTTTCAGTTTGAAAATAAAACTTCAAGTTCCCAGCTGTCATTTATTACTATTGCCCTTAGCTCAAGTATTTAAAAAATAAATGTGCTTTAGAAATTGACCCAGGACTTCTAAAATCCACTGCAGCTGAATTCTGCCAGTTTAATTTTAATCAACAAAGGTATAGGGTGACTGTCCAGCAATTTTCCCACAAGGGCTGGGAGCGTGGATTGTGATAATGTTTGCCCTCTGGATGGACATTTCTTTGGAGCATTCTGTCTCTTGGATCCTCTGGATTTTCCTGAGTCCTCAAGGAGACAGAATCTCTTTTGAACTCTCTGGGGATTAGGAGCTACACTGAAGAACTTGCCCATGAAAACCATAGATCTTCTGAAAAGTGACTCCAGGAACCAGCTGGGGGCCAGTCCTCTGGGATCTCAGCCTGACCCAAGAACAGCAAATTCACAAACCATGTGGCTGAAAGGGGACATTTTTTTTTTTCATGATTTTTTTTCTCTACAAGAATCCAAGCTTTATCGGAAGACTGTCTTTTCTGTATATCTCCTGATGCCTGGGAAAATGAATTGTGTACTTAGGAGCATACTCCTCATACACAGATCCCCTCTCTCTGGGCCTATCCCTTGCCTTGTCCCACCCTTGACCTCCAGGAATTGATCAACAAGGTCATTTCCTCATAGTGACAGTCATGATGTGTGCCAGCCACCATTCTATGCACTTCAAGGATCATGCTGCATTTAGTCCTTACAACCTCCCGCAAGCTCATTTGGCAGGTTCAGTGAAAGTGAAGTCTTAGTCACTCAGTCGTGTCCAACTCTTTGTCACCCCATGGACTGTAGTCTGCCAGCCTCCTCTGTCCATCGGGATCCTCCAGGCAAGAAAACTAGAGTGGGTTGCTATAGTTAGCCAAACCCACGCAGCGTGTGGGAGAGTTAGGTTGCAAATCCAGCCGTGCTTCTTTGTAAAGTCTTGTTCTTCTGCTCTCGGCTAAGCGATTCTGAGCCCTGGATTGGTGTTGCCGATACAGAAATAATTCCACTAACTTGAACTCTCCTTGCTTCCCGCTGTGCTCCTGTAACAAGCAGGAGGATGAGGGAGCCATCTCTGTGACCTGGACTTGGGCCAGTATCTGGGACAGGAGCCCCTGAGGCCCTAAACTCTTTTGGTGGGAACTGCTGACTGGTGAGATGGACGTCAGTCCTTGGCAGGAAGCTCGAACAGGTCATTACACAGATGGTTTGTGAGTTCCAAGGACAGGAAGCAGTGGTCGTCCCCTTGAGCCAAGGTTTGCAGAGAGTGAGTTGGGGCCAAACCTCATTTTTTTTTTTTTGCAAGTCTCACCAGAATTATAGATGGGGGCTGACAGATGTAGTTTATCTGCATTTCAGCAAATCATTTCACAGTGTGTCTCATAGCACATTTGAAGAAAAGATGGACAGATGTGGGCTGGATGTTTAGCTGCAATTTAGATGGCTCAGAGAAGGTTGAACAAACAGCATCCGGAGAGTGTTGAATGCAGCAATGACAATGACCATTTGTCCTGAGGGCCATATACAGGGTCAAGGGTGTAGCCAGCACTTAGTAAATATTTGTTGGTTGCATTAAACTCAGGGGGGAAGTCTTTAGTGGCCCCATGAAAGGGCTCTTTCTTTGATTTAGCAAACATTTACAGAATAGATGAGTTTGGGGAGTGGAGGGAGCAAGGTCTGACCTTCAGTGGAGGGAGGGAAAAGTCAGGTCTATTTGCTTTGACCTCTGGAGCCCAGCCTCACAGACGTACTGATGACAGAGGACAGCATGGGTCTTTCACTGTGTTTGGACCCTCTGCTTCACAGCACTTAGGAATTCTGAGGGGGAGGTTTGGAGACTACTGTGGGAAAATCGTGTGTGTGTGTGTGTGTGTGTGTGTGTGTGTGTGTGTGTGTGTGTGTGGCTTTCCGGCTCATTGCCCATCTAGAACCAGATCATCTCCTCTTATCTGTTTTTCATATTGGCTTCTGGTAAGACTCAAAGAATTCTCCTTTTGGCTCAAAAATGTTTGAAAACCACAGACTCTGATGGTATCTAAAATTCCTTCTAGCTCTAAAAATTAAGTGGTTCTTTAAAAGTGTGTGGGAGGAGGGGGTGCTAAAGGCAAAACACACAGGTAAAAAACAGTGGCTTTGTTTCCCGTTTCCCTGTCACCTCCTGGTAGGGTCAGTCTCCTTGGCAAGGCTCTCAGAGGGTCCCCACCAGGAGGACCGCCGGCTTTTTTCTTGGTAGTGCTCCCTCCCGGCTCTTTTTAAGTCCAGCTAGCCTTCCTGTATCAAGCTGCCTTCATAAGTATAAATGACTGACAGCTTCCATTTACTTAGTGCAGATATACGGATTGCTAAAGACTCACTCTGAGAGAGATCTCTGATGGGTACAGTTTCAAACAGTGTGGCCAAGTGAAGAATTTGAGGAAGGGGGCGAGAGATGTTTGAGGTTAGTGGAGGGTCCATGAATTTGAGTGAAAGTGTGCCCACTTGCCCAGGTTCATTAGTTCATTCAAAGCTACTTTTAGGGACTTCCCTGGCGGGCCAGAGGTTAAAAGTCTGCCTTCCAGTGCAGGGGACGTGGGTTTGATATCTGGTCAGGAAACTAAGATCCCACATGCCAGGATAAATAAACCTGCACACCACAATTAGAGAAGAGCCAGTGTAGCGCAAAACAAAATGAAACAAAAACTACTTTTATTTTATTTTTTCAAAAACTACTTTTAAAACACCTACAGTGGGCTAGCATTCTACTAGATACTAGAGGTAAATGTTGAGTAAAAATTAGCTCAGTTTCTATGCTCATAAAGTTTACAGTCTAGAGGGAGACCATGACTTTACTTAAAAATTAATTAATTCAACAATTATTCCCTGAGTGCTCACTATATGGTGGGATATAGCAGTGAATAAACCAGATGAATTTCATGCCCTTTGGGGCTTATATTTAAATAAGTACATGATTAAACTCTGAGATGAGTGTGTGCGGAATGTTAAAATGGAAGTTCTGGCTGTGTTCCACAATGCAAGAGTTTCTAAGGAGGTGTCTTGCCATCAATGAAAGTTTCCATGGCAACATCTGTAAACTGGCCCCATGATGCACGGACCCCTCAGTTGGGGTCTATAAATGGGCCGGGGTAGGGAGAGGGGTTTGGAGAGTTGCTGTGCTTGTGTTGTGAGTCCCCAGTGGACCTGCCAGGGAGAGAGGTATGGGGAGACGGGGGGGCTTCCCTTCTAGACTGGTGAGGTGAGTGAGGAACAGAGAGCTTGGAAACAAGTTCCCTGAAGATGGTAAGCACAGAGTTCTGGAAGCAGCCATAGCAGTGGAGTAGAGATGGCTGCCATGGGGTTGGCCTGGCCACGTGTTGTCTGAGTGTCTCCTGTGGAGCAGATGTAGACATGCAGAAGGATCCAGTGTGGAGCCATCTTGGATCCTGACTAAAGCCATCTAATAGGACAGAGGGAGTAGGAAGCTGGAGATGAACCATCCAGAGGTTGTGGGAGCAAGTAAACCAAGTAAACACGGGGCTACAGAGACATCACCCACGTCACAGGAACTGCCTGAGAGGATCCAAAAGGAGTTCCAGACACATCAGGGGAAAACAGAGCCAGCATTTAGCCTGGGCTGCGCTCAGCTTAATGTCCAAGATCAAGGAAGATCTACTCTTTCTCTTATCTCTGCTCACTGGTCCTCGCCCAAAAGGTGTAAGAAATTGGCTAATAAGCTGGGGTGGGACTGAGGAGGAGAAGAGTGAAGTACAGAAGAGAGGAGAGACACCCAAACTTGCGCTTCATGGGGAGGCCAGCCCAAGGTGGGGAAGGGAAGACTGAATACTGGATGAGGTGTGAGATTTTGATTGATCTCTTAGATTGGACTTTCTGGTGGCTGAATTTAGGTTCCTCTTTTGATTGCAGATCTGCCTATAACCTAAGAGTGGGCCTAGGAATTGTGGGGCCTGCTAAGTTCGCGTCTGGTGGCAGGAGGAAAATCTCTCAGTGAATGAAGTATACAAGGGGTGGAGGGAAAGACAAACCGAAGTTTTATCTTGATCATGCACAAGTCATCTTGTGCCATGTTCCAGGTACCAGAGCTCAGAAGGAGATACTTACTCAGCTTTGTGGGGCTGGTAACAAGGAACTGATCCAGCTACAGGGCAGGGAATGGCTTGGTCTTCCTGACCCTGCGGATGAGTGGATCATTTTCTCTTCTTGCTCACAAGTCCCAGAAAGGCTCTCCTGGACTGGGCTCTTACACATGCTTGGTTCTTTACTCACTTCCAGCTCTTTTTCTCCGACAGGGCTGGCTGTTAAATAGTGTGGATGGCTCTGGCTTCAGCCCTGCCCTGGCTCAGCTCTGCCAACTGTGAGTCCCCCGGGGCTGGGGGAAGGGCCAATTTCTCTCCCACGGCCCACGTCAGCCCTTTCCGCTCAGGGTCCACTGTCTCCATCATGTCCCATGGCTTCTGGGACATGGGGCCCTGTCATCTGCTTGCAACTTGTAAAAGTCAGAGGAAACACTGACTGGAACCCAGGCCTCCTGGCATTCAGGTTCTTTCCACGAATCACTTTCAGGAGACAGATTGAGGTATTGCCCTGACACTCTGAAATGGAATTTATGCACATGCATGAAAGAAACACATCTGGGCATTTAACAGAGTGTTAGAGACAGGTCTGGCAAACCCGCCAAGCCATGTGCTTCCATAGGATGAGCTTTTCCAGGGTGGGACTCTGGCAAAGCCCTGGCCTTAGCAGAAAGGATCTAAGGTGATGGAAATGGACTGATGTCTTACCAAGGCTGGGCTCTTTTGGAAGCTATCTGTTTAATCTGATTCATAACGTACACCATTTTGCTTGACTTCTTTTTTTTAAGAGTATAGGGGAAAAAAAGAGGAAGGTCAGGTCCCATTAAAAAAAATAGTTTTGTTAAATGGGGTGGCCATGTTTGTGTGAGTCAGAAGCATAAAGCAGACGTGGGAAGGTTTCTTGTGTCTCTGTCTCAGGCAGTTGGCCATTTGGCTGAGAAAGAGATCACAGACTCCCTTGCCAGGGAGGCAGAGCTTAAAGTAGTTCAGAAAGTGAGTGCCCAAGGCTACAGATTCAAGGTTTAAGCTCAGTTTCAAGGCTCAAGATGCTCTGTGTTTCAGGCCTCTCCCATGTAAAAGGAAGGCACTGGCTTTAGCAAGATGCTCATATGATGATCGCTTTAGGGTTAATTTGTACTTTGTTATTTATTTTGCTTGATATTTATCATTAATTGTATATGGTGTTATGTTATCTGGGTTTCCCAGGTGGCTCAGTGGTAAAGAATCCACCTGTCAGTGCAGGAGATGCAGGAGACATAGGTTGATTCCTGGGTCAGGAAGATTCCCTAAAGCAGGAAATAGCAACCCACTCCAGCATTCTTGCTTGGAAAAGTCCCAAGGACAGAGGGGCCTGGTGGGCTACAGTCCATAGGGTTGCAAAGAGCTGGACACAACCTGGCACAACTATGTTGTTGACAAAAACCAACAAAGAAAAGGGTACAGATGATTTTTTGTTAATAGTGTAAAGACATACCTAATTATGTTAATTATTAAGGCACAAGTCAGGTTAAGGGGTCATAGCTGGGCCACTCTCAGGTATGGCACCTCCAGTTTGAGCTGGTGCCCTACAGTTGGGCACTGGCCTCCTGCAAAGTGGGCCTGGGAACCAGTCCCCTCCCTGGGGGCTGCTGTCATGGAAGGAAAACCCAATGGATCTTCTTTGCTGCAAAGTAGTTGAGGTGTGATTCCTAGCTGTGCTTCTCCCGACACTGAACGAAATACCACGTCTAAGATCCTGGAGGACTCCCCTTCCCTCTATCACCTCAGAGCTCTTCTCTCCTCTTCCTCCACCTCCATCATCCCGTCCTCCTTCTCCCTGGCTCCTTCTCTTGTCCTCTCTTCCTTTACTGCCTTCCTGTTTCTCCTCTTGTTGAGCGCCTACCACATGCGAGGTGTCAGAGGAAGTTGGGGTGGGGGGACCTCTATGAAATGCTAGAGGAATGGGACATGAAGCAGGGTGATGATGGAGCAGAGGAAGAAGGCATCTCGGAGACCTGGCAGGGACTGGCAAAGAGGAGACAGGATTTGGATTGAGTTACAATGAGAGGACAGGAAAGGCCAGGATCATTTGGATTAGGGCATGTGAGTGGAGGTCTAGATGCAGGAATACATAGGGCCTGTCCACTGAAACAGTGTCTCAAAGGGCAGACTGTTTTGTGTAGGACTCATGGAGAGGCGGGCAGAGTCTGACCCACTGTGCAGGGTGAAAGGGGGCCAAGGGGGTGGGGGGAAATCTGGTCAATCCAGCACTTTCCAAATTTGCCTTCCACGGGGCACAAGTGATGCTCTATCAAAACAGACCAGTCATTTTCAAGTTTGGGAAATATGGCATGATACATTCCATGGGAATTCTTTGGAGATTCCCAATGCAATTGGCTCATGAAAGCATCTTTGAAGTCTTGCAGATTAAAAAGCAAGACAAAACCAAACCTTTAACATTGTCACGTGCAGCATTCCCCAAACTTATTTGATGCCTATGAGCAGCTGGGGAATAAGTGTCCATAAAACACATCTTGTGTGCAGGCAGTGGGAGCCAGTGGAGGTTTCAGAGGGGGCATAGTTCATTGCTGTCAAGAAGTCAGAACTCCCTCACATCAGAGAGAAGGGGGTGTGGGTCATAGGCAGATGTGCCAAACACCTGCTGCTGTGGTTGATCGCTTTCTGTTTTCCTGGGCAGAGGCTGGCTGGCTAGTAGGTAAAGGAGGGCGAGTTCTCATTCCTTAGCACTGAGAGCATTAATGAAGGCTCAATGTGCACGCCAAGAAAATGTTTTCTCTGGCTGAAGAAGGGGCTACATATACATATGCACGCACATATAAACTTGCTGACTGGCAACCCTGTTGGTCTTACTTTTTTTCTGTTGTTTTGTTTAGCCAAAGCCTGAGCATCCTCGAAGGAAAAGCTGAAGTCATACCTCCTATCTGCAGTCTCTTTCAACCAAACTTGACCTCTGGCTTACCCCCTCCACTCATGATCTCTCCATTTTACTGTCAGCAGCAAACAATCACTATGACACACCACCTGATTTCTTCCCCATCCGTTCTGTACCCTAATCAGGAGTGCCAACCCCAGGCTGGGCCCCCGTGTGCGTGGTGCATTGGCTGATGATTGGCATATATGACAATGCATTCTGCTTTTTCAGCCTCCAAATGGCAGCAGGGCAAATGAATGTGGAAACGACTCATCTTCCTGCCAGCCCCCATGTGAGAAAAAACAGAATCACATCTCTATTATTTTCATGGAAGAGATTCTGGAATACAGTAAGGTCTCACTGTTCATTTCTGATTCCAGAGCTTACCAAGCATAGTCAAGAGGCTGACAGCGAGGCACGACAAGAATTCACAAAGCGAAACCAAAGGGTGACATACAATGGCACTCTGCTGGAGTTTCCTTCTGCTTTCTGGGCGTGGTGGAAAGGCCCCTACTAGATGAATGGGATGTGAATTTCCAGGACAGAGTGTGTTGGGAAGGACACTGCAGGAGGTGGAGGCAGCTAGAGGGACAGCCAGATGGAAAGAGGGATGAGCACCCATCAGCTAGTCTCATCAGCTGTGTTTCCACAATACTTTCCTCCTTTCTCTTTATTTGGCTGCACTGGGTCTTTGTTGCACATGGGCTTTCTCTAGTTGTGGTGCACAGACTTAGTTGTCCCAGGGCATGTGGGATCTTAGTTCCCCAACCAGGGATGGAACCTGCATCCTCTGCATTGGAAGGTGGATTTTTAACCACTGGGCTGCCAGGGAAGTCCTTCTACAATACATTCAGATTGCATTCACTCCTCGCCACTTGTGCTCTATTCTTGCCAGGCCATCACCACTGCCCCTCACCCAGCTCTATTTGCAACGAGCTCCTTACTGGTTTCCCAGTTTCTGCTCTGGACCCTACAATCCCTTCTCTCCATCGTATCAAGGGCAGTGTGGATTGAATGTGAATCACACCATGTCCCTCCTCTGCTAACCCTCTCCTCCATGCAGCCTTCCTATTAACACACAGAGTAAAATCCAGTCCCTGGTTTACACGCCCTGCCCTCCTGTCTCTTACTGCACTTGCTGCTGGCCTCTGACTTCCTCCAACAAGCCACGCTCTCTCCAGCCATACAGGCATCGCACTGTTGCTCCTTTCCTGATCTTGACATGGCCAGTTCCTGCTTGTCATTGACACCTTACCTTCAGTGCCACCTCTCCAGTGCCCATCTCTCCAAAGAGAGGGCTTTTCTAACCACGCAGGCTAGGTGTCTATTTTCTTTCTATGCCACAACCCTACTTGGCATAGCACTTAACACTTGGGTACTGGGAACCCTAGAGTGCAGACTGCAGGGAGGGACCCTGGCCTCCTGGTTCACTGGGGCTTAGTCTGACAAATAAATGTGATGAGTGAATAAACGCTAGCTTTTCCATGTATCAGCCATGGACTCAAGAGGCTCTTGAGTCCTCTGTAAAGTGAATTTCCTCCTCTGTAAAACAGGGATGAGAACACTTACCTAAAAGGGTGATCAGAGGAAATGCATTCAAAATAATTACACATTATGAAGCTCGTGGTAAATACAAGTTATTTCCCAAGTCAAGTCAGTATTCTTTTTGGTAAAATGGGGATAATATTTGCTTTCTAGGAATTTTTCAAAGATAAAGCAGATAATCCAATAAATGTACAAATATCTAGAACAAAGTTTTAAATGCAGCAAACCCTTTCTTCCCTGTGATGATAGAAAAAGGAAGCCTTAAAACAAAACCCTTCATGCTGGTTTGGAGCACACAAGACTTATGGCTCCAAACAAGAAGTTTGGATTAGGAACTGACCCAGAAAGGCAAAGTCACAGATGACCTAACAGAAAACCAGGAAGGGCAGACCATGACCCAAAACTCTGAAATTATCCTTATGTGCGCTAAATAGAGATGACTGGAAGATGCAGGGCCTGTATGAAATCATGTGGTCCCTCTTTTCACAAGTGTCTCGCAGGCTAGTTCTCTAGACCAGCACAGCCAATAGAAGTGTCACACAAACCACATAGGTAATCTTCAGCTTTTTAGTAGCCCCATTTGTAAAAAATAAACAAGTGAGAGTATTTTTAATAATAGAAACAGAATGTTATTTCAACAGGTGACCAATATAAAAATGACTGTTCCAAACTGGGAAAGGAGTATGTTAAGGCTGTATATTGTCACCCTGTTTATTTAACTTATATGCAGAGTACATCATGCAAAATGCTGGGCTGGATGAAGCACAAGCTGGAATCAAGATTGCCGGGAGAAATATCAATAACCTCAGACATGCAGATGATACCACCCTTATGGCAGAAAGCAAAGAGGAACTAAAGAGCCTCTTGATGAAAGTAAAAGAGGAGAGTGAAAGAGCTGGCTTAAAATTCAACATTCAAAAAGCTTAGATCATGGCATCTGGTCCCATCACTTCATGGCAAATAGATGGGGAAACAATGGAAACAGTGACAGACTTTATTTTCTTGGGTTCCAAAATCACTGCAGATGGTGACTGCAACCATGAAATTAAAAGATGCTTGCTCCTTGGAAGAAAAGCTATGATCAACCTAGACAGCATAGTAAAAAGCAGAGCCATTACTTTGCTGACAAAGGTCCATCTAGTCAAAGCTATGGTTTTTCCAGTAGTCGTGTATGGATGTGAGAGTTGGACCATAAAAAAAGCTGAGCGCCGAAGAATTGATGCTTTTGAACTGTGGTGTTGGAGAAGACTCTTGAGAGTCCCTTGGACTGCAAGGAGATCAAATCAGTCAGTCCTAAAAGAAATCAGTCCTGAATATTCATTGGAAGAACTGATGCTGAAGCTGAAGATCCAACACTCTGGCCACCTGATACAAAGAACTGACTCATTTGAAAAGACCCTGATGCTGGGAAAGATCGAAGGCAGGATAAGGGGATGACAGAGGATGAGATGGTTGGATAACATCACCGACTTGATGGACATGAGTGTGAGCAAGCTCTGGGAGTTGGTGGTGGACAGAGAAGCCTGGCGTACTGCAGTCCATGGGGTCGCAAAGAGTCGGAAATGACTGACTGAACTGAATTGAAGGAGATCTTTTACATTCTGTTTTTCATGCTACATCTTTGAAAATCCAGAGTGTATTTCACATGTACAGTACATGGCATTTCTGACTAGTCACATTTCAAGTGCTCAATAGCCACACGTGCCTGGGGGCTGCCTTATGGGACTGTGCAGCCCTACACTTTACTTTTTTAGAAAAATTTGCTTTAATTTTTAAATTTTGCTGTGCCAGATGTTAGTTGTGGCATGTGGGATCTAGTACCTTGACCAGGGATTGAACCCAGGCCCCTGGCATTGGGAGTGTGGAGTTTTAGCCACTGGACCACCAGGCAAATCCCTAGATTCTACTTTTGAGGTGTTCAAGATCTTTTGCTGCTTGTGAAAGGGGAGGTCACAAATAATTTTGTAAAACACTCCATTTATTTGTAAAAGACTCCACTTATAAGTCCACTAAGTTGCCCACTGTTTTTCCACAGTTGTAAGAAAAGTTCTAGTTGATTGTTTCGCTGGCCAGTGAGGAGCTTAAAAGAAAATTTAAGAGTTTAAATTCCTGTCATGGAAATACTTTTATCTTCTGATCTCCATATACTCTTTAAGGTATGTAAAACTGTTTGAAACTGTGCCCATCTGTCTGTCTGTCTGTCTGTCTATCTATCCTCTGGAAGTGATAGGAAGCTTTATACTTATTTAAAATCAAATCACACCCCTTTTCTCTCACCCTGTGTTTCAGAGAAAGATTTATGAGAATCTGTGTTTCTTCAGGGTGGGACAGTTTGGTCCATGGCTTGCAAAGCTAGAGAATTTCAAAAATCAAATTGTTGTCTTTAAAAAATATCAAACTTGGAACTGGATTAGAACTAAACACATCAATGGAATGAGCTTAAGAGAGCAAGAAAATGATTACAAGGTAAAGTTATCCAAAAACTGTTTTCCCTTGACTCATAAATCTGTTATATAGTCTCAGGCTTTTTGGACATAGATGGGTGAATTATAAAGGACAGGCATCAAAGCTTGGCTGTGTCCACCGAGGATCAGAACAGTCATTTCACCATTGGCATTTACAGTAATCTTGAATGCATAGCAACATTGCTGGATGAAACTGGAATTTTCACACGGGTAGGTTAAATCTTTTGGAAGCTTCCATCCGTGTTGCTTATTAGTGACCTTGTGTGGGATGTAGTCACGTGGGTTGTTGGCGTGTGTGATGTGAACTGCTTGTAACCCTAGTTTTTTGCTAGGAGGTTCTGTTGTGAATCATTAGCAAACACATTTTCAACTTTAGGCCACCAGTGGAGGATCTAGTGCAGAACAAGCCAGGGCAGCTGATGTGGTACAGTGGGGACCATGGGCTACGGGAGTTCTGTACTTATTCCTGGTTTGGAGGGATGCTTACTGTCTACAAGCACAGAAGGTAGCCTTAGTTCTACAGCTGCCTTGGCCATTTCTGGAGGACCATACATCCCCTGGGCCTACAGACATGGTGGAGCATCGAGGCTGTGGCTTCATATATTTTGGTAAGTTTGTTTCCACCACCAATTGGAAAATATTCCCTCTTCTTTCCATTTCTCTCTACCTCCATGCCTAAGAAGTCCAGCCCTGCTTGGTCAGAACTACTTCCCCTGTTAGAAGGAAAGAAGGGAGGATTCCACAGTGGACTTTCCAGTGGACCCACTTTGATTAATGATCCCAGTAAGGGGCATGGATGTCTGTTATGATGTCCAATTTTCCAGACTCTGTGACATTCAAGAGTTTCCCATTACAAATCACCTTGACTGAGCAGTAGAGAATGTGGAAAAGCTTACACAAGACTTACTCCTATTTAGAGCTTATATTCCAGTCAGGGTCACAGAGGCCTTGGAAAGTAGGTGCACTGGGGATTGAGGCCAGTGACTGGGTGTCAGCTGCTTAGGGCCACCCAGTCAATGGGGTGACCCAATCCAGATGTTGGCGGGATACAGGAGTGCATGCAGGTGCTGAAGGCTAGGAGTGAGCGCCCCTGGAGCTAACTCTGCCGTTATTATGGATTCTGAACATAGCTCTGCTCTCGATGGTCTCAGCCAAAAGAAAAAATGGAAAAACACTAAAAACGTTAAACAAATATCACAAGAATGAATTTATAAAGTATGATGAGTAAAGTCAGAGAGTCATGTTCCTCTCACATTTTCTATTCAAAAAATTTTAAAAGAAAAGTCAAAGTTATTAATAAATGGCAATGACAGAAAGTATGATCAGCAATTATAATGAAAGTTTAATGTTTTAATAATGCTTAATCAGGTGGTGTAGTGGTAAAGAAACTGCCTGCCAATGCAGGAGATGTAAAAGCTGTGGGTTAGATCCCTGGGTCGAGAAGATCCCCTGGAGTAGGAAATGGCACCCTTCTCCAGTATTCTTCCCTGGAGAATTCCATGGGCAGAGGAGCCTGGTGGGCTACCATCCATGGGGTCACAAAGAGTTGGACACGACTGAACACACATGCAAACTGTTGGTGTAGTAAGGTGTGTGATATGTGTGTACACATAGGTGCATGTGTGAATATAACTGAATAAACTGAATGCTCAGTCAGCCTCATTTTACCTGAAGATGACCCTACAAGAACATGTGAACTCTCCCTCTTTGTTAAAGGTGAGGATTTTTTTGAGACACCTTTGGCCACTACTATGGAAGGAATCTTATAAAAGTTTACAAATAGCTGCGAACTGGGGGTCACAGAAGAAGTCTTCATAGAACAAGAAAACAAGTTGAATCATGTTCTCAGTGCTGTGAGGGAAAGGAAAGGAAATGTCCCTTTCCTCAAATCAGTTACTGTTTCCTCAGGGAGTGAAATATCAGTACAGCCTTTAAATTAAAATGGTGTGAAATTTTGGGGCACCAGCTGTGAGCACAAGAGGAAGGAAGGGCCATACAATGAGCAAAAATCAGGGGAGAGCCTCGGAGAGCTGGGCACCCGAAAGATGCGACCAGTTGTAAGGGTGGAGAAGGCAGAGCTGGGAGGCGGAGTGTGACTGTTCTCCCCTCCCCTCCCAGGGTCAGCCTGGGCCTTCTCTTTCAGCTCACTTGGTCCTTCATACATGCTGTTTTTTCCACCCAAATGCGTTTCCCTCACTTCGCCAGGAGAGCTCATCCTTTAAATCTCAGTCCAATGCTCTGTTTTCAAAGTCTTCCCTGGTCCCCCAGCCTGGATTAAATCTCTGTGTTCTAGGCTCCCATGAAACTTCAGATGCTCCCCACAGTTCCCTACCACTCATCACATCAAGTTCTAATTTAGTGCTTTTCTGACTACTCTGATGTGCATCCCACAAGGGCAGGGATTGGCCACATTCATGTAAATCCCCATTGCCTGGCATGGTACCTGCTGTAGGGTCGGAGCTCAAGACCAGTGCATGGGTGTACTCTTAGACACAGTGTTGGTGATAAAGGGAGAGGCAGGCAGTGGTGGAATCAGTAAGAGAAAATATGAGGTAACTTGGGAACACAGCACGCTGAAAGGAGGGCAGGTCACTAAGGGAGGCAAGCAGTGGGTATGCCATCTTGGGCAGAGTATAAAAATGGAACAGTGTTGGGAGGTGGGTGAAGGTAAGTGGACAGGAAAGGAGGAGTTTGGGTCACAGGGACCAGCTCTGCCTCCCAAAATTCAGTCTGGTTTACCTTTTCTTCAAGGGATCAAACCCAATCATGAGCTCCACACTCTTCTCCTGGCCTGGGGAGAGGACTCAGGAGAGCCAGGCTGTGCAAAGGGCTGGAGGGGTCTGGTCCTGCCACTTCCACTAATTCCCTTTGTAACTGTGAATGAAGCAGGGATCTTAGTATGAAAGCATTAATGTTACTAATATGAAAATAGGAGATAAGTAAGGCAGTGATGGGGAGCATACGAGGAAATGTACTTGGGAGTGTTTGGAGGTGTCCCCATCAGCTTGCTAAACATCAGTTTCCTTATCTTGAAAATGAAGGGACTGAGATCATGAGGAACCTCCAACCCATTCCTGAGACTCAGGGTCAGGTTGAGGTGAGGTGGTAATGGGGATACTGGGAGAAGGTGTGTGTGTGTGTGTGTCTACAGCAGACTGTGAATTCTGGAAGGATATCTCCTAGGTCAGATCCTGCCACCTATGATTCAATCTAATACTTTTGGACCAGAATAGAACTCCCCACCAACCTGGGTTAAATAAATCTTAATTGAGGCCTATGGCAGAGATGTAGACCATTCACTAGAGATGATTTTTTTTCCAATGCCCTCAGCTGGAAGAGAAGGCCCATAGCTGCCAAGGGGCTAGACATAAACATCACACTTGAGCAAAGTAGAAAACTTCCTACAGTGTTATACACTTGGATGAAATTTGACCCTAGAATCAAGCCCAATTTCCTTCAGCCCTGACTCTGTTTGGCAGGAAAAAAAAAAAAAAATGAGATCAGAGAATTTCAAGAGGGGTGTCTCTATTACCCAGCCCTGCCTTCTTCAGCCCCCAAATTCTCTTCTGTTTGCTATTTGCAACCTGATACCAGGACTTGACCTGTTGCTGCAGCTGTTTGGGAGATGAGGCAATTCAAAGGTGAAAGTCATCAGCCAAGCAATAAAATGATGATGCTGATGAGTATGGAAATATGTATGGGTGTGGAAAAAAAAGGGATTCAGTTATGGGGGATTGGAAGGGGAGGGAGAGACCTCAGCCACATCAGATACCTTCATAATTATTTTTTTAAAGAGACCTCCAACTGGGAGCAGAAAGTTAGTGCAAAGAAAAAAAAAAAAAACAACAACAACAACTCAAGATGGTATATTTTGCAGCATCAACTTTGGGTTTAACTTCTCTGAAAAAAGTTAACTTTGCAGGTTTCGGGTACAGTTTGGTTTTTGCTGTGGACAGAGGATGTCTTGAACTTTTTCTTTTGTAAAATCAGGCGGGTAAGCCAAGAATTCTAAGTACTTATGTTCCTCTCCAATGAGACAGTGAAGGAAAGATTTCCAAGGGTGAGAACTGAATAAATACTACTGAGAATTCAAACATCCAGGGAAGGGGCTCAGCCAAAATAAATCACACCCTCTAGGAACATTTCCTATAATTTGCTTTTTTTTTTTCTTAAATGATCTAGTCTTACAAAAGTTTATGAAAGGTCAGAAGTCAGTGGCCAGCAAATTGGACTTTCTCTCCAGATCTATTGGGGACTTTACATCTTGGTGTCAGACACTGATAGAAATTTTGAAGATCCCTGTTTTCTCAAAGTAAAAATCAATATATTCTATGCAAACTTCTTTTCCCCTACTTTAAAATAGAAAGTCTACTTTTTCAGCGGTTCTGTGAATTGAATTAAAGAGCAGAGGGAATGCAAGGATTCTTTAATATCTGCAAATCAATCAATGTAATACACCACATTAACAAATTGAAAGATAAAAACCATATGATTATCTCAATAGATGCAGAAAAAGCCTTTGACAAAATTCAACATCCATTTATGATTAAAACTCTCCAGAAAGCAGGAATAGAAGGAA